AGGAAGCAGGACTTCATCAAGATGTTGACAACTGGGAGTGTGGACAGGGGATGGTCAGGGAAAAAGCATGCAAGTAAAGGACTAAAGAGAGTCCAGGGTTTGCGAAGAATGGGGGAAGGATCTGAGCAGGCTTGTCAAGCCATGTGCAGTAGCAGAGGGAACAGAATAAAATAAAATTTTCTTTTTTTTTTTACATTTTTAAAATTTAAATTCAATTTGCCAACATATAGTATAATACCCAGTGCTCATCCCATCAAGTGCCCTCCTCATTGCCCATCACCCAGTTACCCCATCCCCCTCCTCCCGTTCTGCAACCCTTGTTACTCAGAGTTAGGAGTCTCTCATGGTTTGTCTCCCTCTCTATCGGAGACAGATGGAGATCAAGGGAGTTTGAATCTCCTTTTTCAAAAAATGTAAACTCCTGCTCTTAACATATGCCATTGTTTATTAATTATACATTAATCCTCATTTCTAGGTGACCCAGATACCTATGTCTAGATAAAAAAGTGATTGCTCAAAACTTCTTGTTATAATTGAGAATCACCGACTCAAACTACTACATCTGAACACATAGTGCCCTGTACCCTATGGTAACAACTCTAGGTAATCACTGTCATGCCTGTCTGCAAATACCAGTTGGCAAATTTTTGTGTTCACAGCTCTTCTGGAATTATAAAAATACACAAGCATATGAGAAAGAGGCAGACAGACAATCTGTTAAACTTCTCAGTAATGCTGCTTCTGTCTGCCTCTACTGTACCTAATACTAGTCATTTCTTCAGTAATATGATCTTCTTTAGGAGAAAGAAGCAAATTTTAAACATTTTTCTCATGAATTAGTAAGTCTTGCATGCATGCCATTTTTTAGGACATCAGTAACATTCGATGCTTACAGCAATTGATGAAGTCAATAGAGCGGGTGTTATTATCCTCATCTAACAAAAACTGGCACGGAGTGGCATGCAACTTCATCAAGATGTTGACAACTGGGAGTGTGGACAGAGTTGGTCCTCAACCACCATATTTTGAGGATGCCATTCCCCACTATTATTTTGGGAAAAAGCATAGCTGAGTACATTTTTCTAAACCATCTTTTAAATGGTTTTAAAGATTGTTTTGGATGCTACTTCTTTATATGTAAGTGTTAGTAGATGATGTTATTTAGGGCTCACTCTGATGTGATAATTTTCAGTACCATTGAAGGTGCATTTTTATGATTCAGAATACTTCAGGTCACAATCCTTCAAGAACAGAAATCTTATTTGTTTCATAACCATATTCCCAGAAAACATACAGTGCTGGTGTGATGGCTGTTCTCAATAATTTTTTTCTGAAATAAAGATGCACATGATTTTGTGATATTTAACATCTTATAATGATCATCCACACAATTAGTTATGTCAAACCAAACAGAAAATAAATCAGAGCTGATATGGTGTTGATTATCTAGTTCTTCAAACATTTGACATATATGCATTAAATGCCCCACTTGTGCCCATGTTGCTCTAGGGTCTAGAGGTACAGTGGGCAAAACATAAACAAGTCTCTGTCCTCAATTTGTACCCTTGTAGGTGTAGACAATTACACACAGAGATACATTTAGTGAAATGAGAATTTAAAAATGCTACAAAAGTTATAAAAGATGGTGGTATAATGGGGTCACCAGACAAGGACTACTTCAGATAAAATGGTCAGAGAGTGACAATTTGAGCTGAGAATTATAAAGAAAGAAGACAGTCACGTAACAAGACAGGCATTGGGTGTTCCAGACGGAATAGCAAAGGCAAAAGCTCTGAAATGGGGTGTGTTCATTATCATGTTCAAGGCATGAAAAGATTAAAAAGGCTAACATTTATAGGCATGAAGTCCCAGAGGTAGGTAGAGGCAATATTACTTAAAGCCTTGAAGGCCACATGAATAAGGTAGAATTTTAATTTACATTCAGTGGGAAGGTATTAGAAGGTTGTAATAAGAAAGTGACACAACTTGACGTATGTATCTGTTACACCATGAAATATTCTGAACTAAGAGTGTTCTCAACTACCAAAGAAAAACTGAATAATGGCCAGATTTCTATCCTTATTAAGACCCACTCACAAATATATTTCCAAAAGTGGAAATGGAAGGGTATTCAGATTCATAATTACCCTATTAAAATGCCACTAAAAAAACCCACTGTATTGTCCTGCCAAAGTGTCCAATTTGCTTATAGTTTCCCTGTGCAGACCAGGGATCAGTTCATGAAGAAAGTACTTCCTCGGGAAGGGCAGGAGATTTGATCTCCCCAGGCACACCACTCAGCATGGCAGAGAAAAATTGGCAGGTGAAATGACCATGATGTCTGTCATCTGAATAGGGACATTTATGGGAATGACAGGGTGCTATGGATCATTACATCAGAACAACAGCATAAACTGGAACTGTACCTGGTACCTAAGATTTAGAGTCACCCTTGACTTAGGCTTGAATCTCCACTTGTATCAACCCAATTATATGTCTTGGAACAAGGTGTCGCCCTTTCTGACACTGAATTTCCTTATCAAGCATATGAAGTGGTTGCATTTTTCTCAATGACTGAACACGAACTACCAAAGTGTCTTCCTGGAGAGACAGAAGAATAGAGTCCACTTCACACTCACAGTCTAGTTGGAGAGCAAGTAAAACTGTACGGTGGTACAAGCTTCTATGGCATAAGCCAGAGAGACGCACATCAGGATAAAACTAGAGTTAGCAGAGGACAGGGATGATAGCTCCTATGAAAACATTAAAAAAAAAAAAGTGCCTCATGGGGGTCTGGTGGCATAGGAGCTGAAATTAGGAAAAAGAACAGAAACTCCCATGTGAGTCAGCATGATCAAGGACAAGAAAGGGTCATCTTCGATTCAGAGTTCTGTTCCACTGCAGCCAGAGGGGACAGCACGGGCAAGGGCATCTAAGTGTGCAAGACCATGGTAGGTCCAGGCAGTTATCAAATTGGTTTAACCAGGTGATCTCTAAGGTCCTTTATGCAATCGATAGGGAGTCCCCCATTTAGTGAGGTCAAATACAGTGTTTAAAAGTGAGATTTTGGGACACCTGGGTGGCTCAGCGATTGAGCCTCTGCCTTTGACCTAGGGCGTGATCCTGGAGTCCCAGGATCGAGTCCCGCATTGGGCTCCCTGCATGGAGCCTCTATCTCTGCCTCTCTCTCTCTCTGTGCCTCTCATGAATAAATAAATAAAATCTTTAAAAAAAAATTAAAAAAATAAAAGTGAGATTTTAATTTTTTGTGTCAAATGTAATACCACATAATGCCAATATCCCATCTTTCCATCTCCATTCCTCAATCACCACTGCCATTCTATCCATTCCTTTTCATGTAACATCTGTTACAGTGAATTGTACACACATAGAAGGTCTTAGCCATGTGTAAGGGAAGTATCTGAAGAGCCGGGATAACTGTAAACCTGTCCCTAAGGTCATAAATCATTGGTTTAAGAATAAAAGAGGGGCCCCTTGGTTGGCTCAGTCAGTTAAGTGTCCAACTCTTGGTTTCCACTCAGGTCATGATCTCAGGGTCATGAGATCCAGCCCCGTGTTGGGTTGTGAGCTTAGTCGGCTTGAGATTCTCTCCCTCTGCCCAACCTCCCTGCCCATGCACTCTCTCTCTCTCTCTCTCAAATAAATAAACAACAAAACAAAAAGAATAAAAGAAACATAGGTAGAGCCTGAGGCAGAGTGCTGAAATATGCAGGAACACTGAAGATAATGATAACTAACATTTACTGAACATTTAACAAGTGTCAATTCAATTGATTCTCACAAGGCTCAGATGACCTAAATAGTAACATTTCCATTTTACAGATGAGATAACTGAGCTATGGACTGGGTAAGATCTCGCCACAGGGAACCTACTTAGAAACGACAGGGCTGGACTTTGCCTGCAGGGAGTTTGGCTCCAGTATCCATGTTTTTAACAACTATACTGCACGCCTCTCAACAGCAGTGTCAGACTGTGGTGGGCGATTCATGCTGTGTGCCCATTGTTCCCTAATTCATCTTTATTCTAAAACAACCTCAGAGGAGCAGTTGGAAAAAAACACTAGGTGGATCTCAGTAGCAACCTTCAAAAAAAAAAAAAAAAGATGTGCAATGAGCAGAGACAATGAATTTTCAAAATCACATTCTCATTTTCTAATTCAGCAGTCTGAATGCGAGGTCAGAAGGCTTGCCCTCTAAGTCTGTCTAAATCCTCATGAAGAATTTAGTTGAGTTCACAGGACATGATGTAGATGAATTGGCCAAGGTTCTCATGGAAACAATTACGGGTTTGATCAGTTCTTTGGATTTTATGAAAGTTGTAGGGTCTTGACAATAAAAAAATAACTCCATCTGCTAGCTTCCTCTGTTTGGCATGAACAGAAGCTCAGGTAGAACAGTGATTAAAGGAGACCTTGGAAGGATGATGGTGGTAATAACAATAAGGCTAATGCAGTTGTATTATGTTTGCGCAACAATGTAAGGCTTGCAATCTTTAAATGTGGGCATCCCATTTAATCCTAGCAACACCTATATGTTATTATTCCATTTTCACTCTTTTACAGACAAAGACCCCAGAAAGGTGCAGTGCCTTTTTGGGTACAGGAGCTGGGATGTAGACTAAGCATTCTCAGTCCATCAGTATTTCTTCTTCCCCCATTTCCCCCACTTCTGTTTCTTAAAGTTAAACATTTCAACAAGCCACCATGATTTTACTTAAAAAAAAAAAAAATAAAAGCCATAGCACACAGACCCAGGCTTTGATACTCTGACTGCCCCAGTTTCTGTCTAAAAATCATAAAACCCCATGCTGCATAATCCTTGGCCTAATCCTCGAATGTTGAGGGAGGAAATTTGAAAACTGATGAGTTTAAAGAATGAGGGGTCATATTTTAACATTGGGAGCTGAACAGAGTGCCTAAGCAGGGTGTCCCTCCTGCAAAGGTCCAGAGGGATGGAGGGCATGGCTAAAAGCTGCTTACCAATACAGGACTCCCCGGACAGTGAATAGGTCCCATCGTCATGGAAACCGCTTCTGCACTCACAGTGGTACCACCCTGGCAGGTTAACGCAGCGGGAATGGTTGTGGCACTCAATGATTCCCTCTGTGCATTCATCAATATCTGCCTCAGAGAAAAACACAAGCCCACCAGGACATTAATTTCTTTTGACACTAACCTTTCAGTAAACACCTAAAACATGCTCGTGTCAACATATCGGTCAAAAGTGGTTAGTCACCTGAAATGAAAGTTACAGGAAGAACCAATTCCCATTTTTTTTCCAGAATCCATACATATTGAAAGCTATGGATGTGTTCTCATCTACTGAATAAAAAATAAAAGATGAAGGCATCCTAACTACAAACGTTGTGTTGGCTTTTACATAACCAAGAAGTAAATTGAGGATGTCTGGCACCCTTTTGGTATTGAGTATATACAGCTTTTCTCAGATTCATGGTTTCCAAAATAGTCATTCCAGATAATATTTGCTGTTCTTTGAAAATATCTATGAATGAACAGGCTCAGGAAATTATGGGTTAAATAGCGTTGAACTGAGTTTTTTTTACAGTAGATTATTAAAGAGACTTATCAATCATATTCATATACCCTGCAAAGCTTAGAGAGGAGAATGATATGCACCATTTCCCAAATTTATTTGGTTGAGAACTGGATGAGTCTTGTGAGATTGTTTTGGGGAGCGTAGTTGGGGAACCACTGTTCTAATTCTGTTAAAGCTTGAGGACTTGATTTATGATAGTCAATCAGAGATCCTCATTCTTCAGTCAGTCCTGATGAAAGGACATATTCTGGGCTTTGTTTGCTCTAGGATCTGACTTTTTAACATAAGCAAATGCCTAGATCATGCACAGATTCTCTAGCCCAAAGGCTTGGCCCTGAACTGAGGGAGTTGACACCACTGCAGAAAGACAGGCTGTCAACTGTGATGCCAGAGTCAACTCATTCTTATAGGATCTCTCCAAGTAATTATTTCTTGGAATACAGCCATTGTTTGCTAGCAATCTTTTACTAGTTTGCTGGGAAATATCTGAACTATGGCAGTCTTCTATAGATAGAAATCTAATTAAAATTGGGATATAAAATATAATGAATAAAACACATTTTGGAGTCTTTTTCAGCAGTGCCCTGCTGTAGGCACTGGCTCAGGGGCAATCAGCTACCAGTTGTTCTATTACCTTGACATGTCCTAAGGTGTGCACAGGGCTGTGAATGTAGTTTGCAACCTGTCAGTCTCACTCATGGCATTTGAGCTAAGTAAAGAGAGAAAAGGTATAGCTCTGTATACTGGGCAAATTCAGCCTTTTTTTTTTTTTTGGAGGAGGGAGGGGGCAACTGTCACCTTCTTCCTTTATGAATTATTATCATTCAGTCCATATAATTCTTTGACACATACAGTCTCTTAGGGTTTTTTACATTTTTAAATTTTAATTCCAGTATACTTAATATACAACATTATATTAGTTTCAGATGCACAATTGATTCAACAACTCTATACGTGACTCAGTGCTCAGCAGGATAAAATTACTATTTAATCCCTATCACCTATTTAACGTATCACCCCCCCCTCTAAAAACCATCAGTTTATTCTCTATAGTTAAGAATCTTTTTCTTGGTGTGTCTTATTTTTTTGCTTGCTCATTTGTTATGTTTCTTAAATTCCACATATGAGTGAAATCATATGGTATTTGTCTTTGACTTATTTTGCTTAGCATTATATTCTCTAAATCAATCCACATCACTGCAAATGGCAAGATTTCATTCTTTTATGGCTGAGTAATATTCCATTGTGTATGTGATCTATATATATATACACACATCACATCTTCTTTGTCCACTCATCCATCAATGTATGCTTGGGCTATTTCCAACATTTGACTATGGTAAATAATGCTGCAATAAACATAGGGGTGTATGTATTCCTCCAAATTTGTGCTTTTGTGTTTTGGGGGTAAATATCCAGTAGAGTGGTCTTATATGTGATCTATTCTGGAGAATATTCCATGTGTACTTTATTTTTATTTTTTATTTATTTTTTTTTATTTTATTTTTTTATTTATTTATGATAGCCACAGAGAGAGAGAGAGAGAGAGAGAGAGAGAGAGAGAGAGAGGCAGAGACACAGGCAGAGGGAGAAGCAGGCTCCATGCACCGGGAGCCAGACATGGGATTCCATCCCCGGTCTCCAGGATCGCGCCCTGGGCCAAAGGCAGGCGCCAAACCCGCTGCGCCACCCAGGTTCCCTCCATGTGTACTTTAAAAGAATGTGCATTCTCTTGTTTTAGGATGGAATGTTCTGAATATATCTGTTAAGCTGCTCTGTTCCAGCGTGCCATTCAAAGCTACTGCTTCCTTGTTGGTTTTCTGTTTGGATGATCTGTCCATGAGTGTAGGTGGGGTGTTAAAGTCCATTACTATTATTGTGTTCCCGCTGATTACTTCCTTTATGTTTGTTATTAGCTGCTTTATGTATTTGGGTGCCTCCATGTTGGATGTTTAAATATTTACAATTAATTATCTTCTTGTTGGACTATCCCTTTTATTATTATATAGTATTCTTTGTCACTTGTTACAGTCTTTGTTTTAGAGTCTCTTTTGTCTAAGTATTGCTACCCCTGTTTTATTTTGCCATCCATTTGTATAATAAATTTTTCTCCATCCCCTCACTTTCAATCTGCAGGTGTCTTTCTTTAGTTTGTTTGTCTGAGAAACTCTTTATCTTTCCTTCTGTTCCAATTGATCGCCTTCTTGGACAGAGTATTTTTGGCTGCAGATTTTTTCCCTTTCAGCACTTTGAATATCTCTCTTCTGGCCTACAAAGTTTCTGCCGAAAAATCAGCTGAAAGCCTTATGGGATTTCCCTGATATGTAACTGTTTTCTCTTACTGCCTTTAAATTTTGTTCTTCATCACCACTCTTTGCCATTTTAATTACCATGTGTCTTGCTGGGGCCCTCGTTGGGCTGATTTGTTTGGGCGGGTATCCCTGTGCATCCTGGATATCTGTTCCTTCCCCAGATTTGGGAAGTTTTCAGCTATTATTTCTTCAAGTAAATTTTCTGCCCTCTTTCTCTCTCTTCTTCCTCTGGGATCCCTAACATGCAAATGTCATTTCACTTGATGGAGTCACTGAGTTTCCTTAAGGTTGTTCTCAGTTTGCATATTTTTTCCCCTCTCATTTGCTCAGCTTGAATATATTACTGTCTTACAGATCATTAATTCATTCTTTTGATTCCTCTAGCCTGCTATTTATTCCATCAAGTGTACTTTTAAATTTAATTTATTGTGTTCTTCATCTCTGGTTGGTTCTTTTTTTTCTCTGTTAAATGTCTCAATGATGTCTTCCACTCTTTTCTCAAGTCCAGTGAGTATCCTTATGCTCATTACTTTAAATTCATTACCAGGTATATTACTTATCTGTTTCACTTAAGTCTCTTGCTGTGGTTTGGACTGATTATTTTATTTGGGATATATTCCTCTGTCTTCTCATTTTGTCTAATTCTCTGTATCTGTTTCTATGTTAGGAAAGTCAGCTACATCTCTTTTCTTGAAAGTAATAGACTTATGAAGAAGAGGTCCTATAGTGCCCTGCAGTTCAATGTACCTTGTTCCTCAGGACCGGGTGTTTCATGGGTGTCTCCTATGTGTGTTGTGTATGCCTTGCTGTAGAACTGGTCTCTTTTTCCTTCAGTCATCTGCAGAGGCTCTCTTTTGCTGTGGTGGGCAGTGTTTTGTCCCTGCTAGGTGGGGCACGTTTTAACAAAGTGTGCACTGGTTGTCTTGTGAAATGCAACCTCACATCACTGCCTCCAGAACTGAAGCCCTGCAAAAGATGCTGGTCAGGAGGTGGGATACTGGTGAGGACTGCTGTGGTCTTCTGGGTGCTTCAGTGCTGGGACTAAAATAAAAGCTTTAGTGGAAAGGGTGGATCCACCTAAGTGTGGGGGCAGGTCTTGGTGGAAGCATGTTGGGTAGTCAATGTTGGTGCCATCATGGTTCCTGCGGTGGTCCTGTGTTTATGCTTCAGCATTTTATGCTTTTAGCATACCCCCCCCAAGGGAGGGAAAGAGTATGTGCCCTCCTTGGTTCCTGGAGGGGTCTCCCTGTGATCCCTGCCTCCTTGGAACAGGCTCTGAGATGAGTAAATCACTCTTCCTCCAGTTTGCTCCTCTTGCTACTTCTATGCTATATCTCTGCTGGCTGTTTGTTGTCCTGTCTCTTTAAGTGTGCAGACTCAGTTTCCTAAAGCCCTCTGGGCTATCCCAGAGTGGAGCCTGCTGATTTTTACAATTCCGGCTTTAAGTCCCACTTTGTTATAAGAACTCAGGAAATTCAGCCCCCCTCCCTGCCAAAGCCTAATGTCTTCCCCATATGGGCTCCCTGGTGTGGTGGTCTGTTTCTTATCCTTCTCAAAGACCCAGGCTTCCTCTGGATCACAGACAGCTAAGGTCCATTTTGCTCTCAAACAGTATCTCCATGCCTTCTACCTTTTTCCATGTGGCCTATTCTCTACCTTTGGTTGTTATGTTTGGTCTGCCAGTCTTCAGGTCTTTTTTTTTTTATTATTTTTGCTGATGTGGGTGTTATTTCATTGTATTCACAGAACAAGGTGAGCTTAGAGTCCTCTTACTCAGCTATCTTCCCAGACTCCAGTCCTATTCCTTAGGTTTCTAAATACAGTAAGCCCACAGGACCCAGTGGCACCTTTAGCAATTGCAGTCAGATTGTCTGTGCATATATTATAAATCCCCAGAAAATGAATTTTAAACAGCTATATTATAATTTCTGAAATTTTACAGATGTGTGATTTTGTGAGACAGACCTTAGATCACTTAAAATTTCAAAAATTGAAATAGAGAGGTGACTTGAGGCTATGTCTCACAGACAGAAGGAGCTAGCCCTAGCTTATGGAGTCAGTTTAGGATTTTTTTTTTTTTTTTAGGATTTTTTTAAATACAGGTCAATAGGAGAAACAAGTATAATGAGAAGACTGGTTTTCAAAGATAGTTTCTCCATATGAGGCTGAAAGACAACTCTCTGCAATGGAGCAGCAACAAATTCTACCTAAGACATTGATTTACAAAGGTCTTGGAAAGTGTCCATGACCCC